GCTTGCACTTTGCTCTGGGTCCTCCTCTACTCACCACCGACTGGGTTCCTCGTGTGGATGATGTTGTGACCGGGGTTATGGTTATAGTGCTGGTCACTTTGCTAGCACCAGGTCGTGAAGAGAGGTGGTTCCTGGGAGAGCGAAGGACTGTGCCTGTGGAAACCTCCTTCTCTGCTGTCACATTTACAGGCCTGACGGTGATAACGGGACTCACGCCTTCAGCTGCAGGCCCCGGGGATCGTTTAAACTGAGAACCCAGGTGAATGTGAATTTTATTGTCTTCCGTGGTGATGATATTGGCATTGGAGTTGTACTTCCGCACCGGGGTGGGAACAGTTTGTTTTTCTGGGGTGACTTTGAGGATAGTCCTTCCCATTGGTACTTCCTGGGATTCAGGAGAGACAGCAATTTCAGAGGGGGCTGCGGATGTTGACACCGTCATGATCTGGATGGGAGAAGCGGGCCGGTCTGCAAAGGCACCCCTTCCACCTTCCGGGCTCTTCTCTCTGGAAATAGTAGTAATCGTGACAGGGGACATGGCTCGTTCTGGGCCGAGAGTCGGATCTGCACTTTTGGGCTTTGGCGACATGACATTGGGTGATGGAATAATGGTTATCCTTGGTTTCTGATTGCCTAAGGTAGGAATGACGGTGGTACTAGAGAAAAACTCTTCAGACGTGGGGCTTGTGATCTCCAGGGTCGCGGTGCTGTTCTCGTGGTCTGGTGTCACGCGGATGTGCAGGGGCTGGCCCTGCTTTGGGGCTAGGACCAGCTCCCCGGGGTGCCCTGCACCTGGGTTTGACCGAGGCCCTTTCTCCTGTGGGGTAGAAGGGCCGTTTTCTCTTTTTCTCATCCAAGGAATCCAGGACTTCCTCATGGTGAGCTCGTTGGCTGCTGGGGGATACCTGTCGAGGACCGAGGACCGTTCCATGGGCTTCTTCAGGCCCACCTGTCGAAGATTGCTCATGATGTGATTTTCTTCCTGGAAGGATTTGCGAATGAACACAGCCGGGGTCTCCTCCTCCGCAGCATCCCCGCACACAGCCTCGGTCTGCACTCCGGTGGAGGCCACCGGCACGTCCACCATCCTCCTGCCGTTCCCGCTGGGCCTGAGGGCGCGGCTGTAGCGCTTGGACAGCTCCAGCTCTTTGGTCAGATTGAGAACCTCCCGCCCCATGTTCTTGTTCTTATTCTCTTCTTCCATAAACCTTTGCTGAAGGACCGAATAGTCCACCTGGAGCTGGGACAGCTGGTCTTCTTTGTTCATCAGCTCGTGGATCTTCTCCTTGAGAGCCTGCACCTCAGCCTGCAAATCACGACTCTTAGCCTCCTCCAGCCGAAACCTGTGCCGCAGCTCGGCTTCCTGGCTCACAGCCTCTCCTTTCTCTATGGCTTTGTTCTTGGCCATTTGGTGCTTGATTTCTTCCAGCTGCTGCGAGAGGAAGTTTGCCTTATCCTGCTCGGTTCTGAACTTCTGCTCCAACTGGTCATACTCATCCTCCGTCTTCATCAAGTCGCCTTCCACCACCTCCAGCTGCTGGAGACGCTTCTTCAGCCTCTCGATTTCCAGCGTTAGTTCCCTGATCTTATTGTCCTCGGGGCAGGTGAACTCAGGCCCCTTGCCTGACCTCCCTCGGTTTATTTCCCTTTCCACCTCCTCTATGCCATCAAGCCGCTTCTTCAGTACGTCGACGCTGCAGCTTAGTTCACAGGACCTCTCCTCTTCATTTCTCAGCTTACCCATCAATTCATCCCTCTCCTTTGTCAAACTGGACACCTTTTCCTCCATCTCGGACTTGAGTTTTAAAAGCTTCTTGCTTTCCTCGATCAGTTTTTCAGTGACGTCCATAACCTTTCCCTGTTCCACCTTAAAGTTTTTATTCAGCCCGTCCACTTTTCTCTCTTCCTGCTTTATTTTTTCCATCATATTTTTCCTTTCGTCCACCAGCATCACAGTGAAGGACTTGAGCTTCGTGAGGTCATCTTTGAGGCTCAACTCAGCCTTCTCCAGTCGACTTTCCGAGCACTCGAGTTCTTGAACGCGACTCTTGACCACCTCCAGCTCATTCAGCAGGTCTTTGGTTAGATTCTTCTCTTTCTCCAGGTTCAGGTGGAGCTGGGTGCATTCCGACTTACTCCTGCTGAAGGCTTCCTCCAGCTTCTCCAGTTCCGACATCCTCTTCTGCAGCTTCTCCACTTCCAGGCGGAGTTCTTTGCTGTGGTGTTCCTCCTCCTGCAGCTTCTTCTTCAGCTCCCGGCACTGGGCCTCGGTCTTCGTGATCTCTTCATCCTTGCCCTCCATCTCCAGCACGCGCTTGCGCAGGCTTTCCACCTCCGCCATCAGGCTGGAGTTCCCGCATTCCCCTTTGGAGATTTTATCCCTCAGCTCCTGAAGCTCTTCCTCGGCCTTCTGGAGGTTTTTGTTGGTCTCTTCCAGTTCTTCGATCCTTTGAGATAAGCCAACCAGCTTGAGCCGGAGTTGTCGGTTGTGAGACTCCTGGTTCGCCAGTTTGGCATTCATTTCTTCGTGCTCCTGGGAGAACCTCGAGGCCTTGTGTTCGAAGTCCACTTCTAACTTGAGCAGTTTCTGGCGGTCTTCTTTGGATTTGTAGGTGACGGCTTTGAGCTTCTCCTCCTCCTCCCTCAGTTTCTGGGTGAGGTCCTGCACTTTCTGACTCTGCAGGCCCAGCTGCTCAATGTGCATCTGCCTCTCGTCCACCAGCATGAGTGCGAAGGACTTCAGTTTCACAAGCTCGTCTCGAAGTTTATTGAGCCTCTTAGCATTTTCTTTTTCTTTGCGGGCTTGGTAAGCCTTTTCTTGTTCAAGGAGCTTTTTCAACCTAAAAATCAAAACATAAGCTCTATGTTAAGAGAGGAATCAGCACATCGATAAAGTCTTAGATTTAAAAAAATTTAAAAAAAAGCTATACCATGGTCCCTTATTACTGTAGAAGAGTATGACTTACCCTTCGATCTCAGTAAAATTAATGAGAAGCCAGGCTAGTAATTCCCCTTGGAGAGGGACAGTGACTACTAGGGGACATGAGAAGGGCTCAGAGGGCAGTAGTTTCTGTTTTATGATTTACTTGCTGGATTGTTTAATTTATGACATTTCATAAGCTAAACATGGGATATGAGTACCTTAGGTTGGGCAACAATAATGACTTTATGTAGTGCTTTCTGCATTCCGGGAACTAGTGTGTACTTTATCCTAACAGGAACCCTGTGAGAAAAGTACTGCTTCTTCACCATCAGGTGGGCAGTGGGGAGTGGGACATGGGAGCACATGTAACCTGCTCCATACACACAAAGTGAGTGGCAGTGCTGGAATTCATCTCAGCCATCAGGCCTCCAGAATCCTTACTTATCTCTGCCACACTGTCTAACTTCAAGGGAGAAATCTACGTAAATAAAAGAGACAGATCAGAAAAGGACTTACAGACCTTTTTATTTTGAACCTTTGAAAGAGACTACACAAGCCAGATGTGGTGGCAAATGTCTTTAATCCCAGCACTCAGGGCGCAGAGGCAGGTGGATCTCTGAGTTCAAGACCAGTCTGGCCAACAGAGAGAGTTCCAGGACAGCCAAGACTACACAGAGAGTCCCTGTCTCAAACAAACAAAAAAACCCACAACCCCCAAAATAACTACATAACTATCATCTTATTAGGGATAAGGCAAAATATGCTCTGGTACAAAAGCTTCTCTGTTCAAGCATTTCCGTTGACACGATCTGCTAAACAATGACCGGAAGCTAAACAATGGATACATAAGGGTTCATTATACTAGTCACTTCGTTTTTGAGAGTATTTGAAACTTTCCATATGGGAATTTTTAATTCTCCTTTGAAGTTTTATCTTCTCCCTGTTTCCCCAAGTCTCAGTTTCTTTCATCTCTGATATTCTAACATTCCTTATAGCGTCATGATACTCTGTTATCTGTGGTTATGATTCTTCCATTCTTCCTCACATTTTCAAAATTAAATTTGCTAGATATTTCTAAATTTTTATTTGATAGTCTAACTTGTGCTTTTTTTTTTTTTAAAAAAAAGTATTCTTTCTGCTTTGATCCGCACATATTGGTGAATTTATCTTTCTTTTTACAGTGTAAGGATGTACTCTTATGAGGAATACAGAGAGGTGAGGTCCAGCTTTATTGTCAAAGCTTTTAATAAACACCAGTTTTGAAGCAGTTATTAGTCTGTGTTCCTTCCAATATAGGGGCCTGTGTACATCCTCACTTTTCCCTGGAAATAAGTGATGTAAAATTTCATTCCCCTCGATCTCCTTGATACTTCCACTTTTTAACCATTTTCCCAAATGTATTGGTATTAATCCCAAGCTGTAATTGTCTCCTTGTGTCCTTAAGAAGGTGTCTTTCCGTCCCATGTAACCCAAGTCAGAAGCTCATTTTTAATAAAAGGGTGACTTGTAGGGTCCTGGCCCCTGTTTTGGGTAACTGTTGCCTTGCTTGTGGCCCTTGACCTTGATATCCTCCCTACACTAATTCCCTGCCAGGTTCCACCCTCCTGAATTCTTAAGGGAAGTTCCTGGTCTGTGTATCCTGAATAATAGGCGTTAATAGCTTAGATGCAAGATTGTAAAACATCAGTAGCGAACTTCTGCCCTCTGGGGTCCTCCCATTGTGCTGTAAGCCTGTATTTAAGACCTCCTCCCCACCTCAAGAAACGACATTGGGCATTTAATATATATATATATATATATATATATATACATATATATGTATGTTTATATATATATATGTATATATATAAAATTGAATTAATACTGTGAATGTAATCTATGAACACCACAAATGTGATTAATATCATGAGTGTAATTAATGAATATCATGAGTGTAATTTTAAAAATTAATTAATTAATTAAAAAAAAGAAGGTGTCTTTCACCAGCATCCCCACTGTGAACTGCTGATGTCACTGAAGTCACCCAGGGCTTGTTCTCTGCCACATCATGCTACTTCCCACTCTGATCAGCACTCCATTTTTGCTCCTCCCCACTCCAAACTCTCTTGTCATGCCTGTCTCTTCAAGAGAGAGGGCAGGTTCAAACTAGCAAGGGCATGATAGTAATTAAAGATGAATGAACCTCAAAAGAGTCAAGCTTGCATGCAGTTTGAAGGCTTTAATCACAATGCATTTTTTCCCAACTAGGGAATACTCCAGAGCTAAGCAGCTTGTTCACATGATAAGGCATGGCTTTACCAAGGAAGAAGAACCTCTTTTTAATAAATCTCCCTAGTTCTTCAAGTCAGTGACTATTATTATTACCCAGAAATAACCTAATATCATCAATGTGCTGCACTGGAGTGGGATGGGGAGAAGTGGGCAAGGCAGGGTTTTGCAGCTTCAGAGTTAAGATCCCACCTTCATTTGCAATGTTGACATTTTCTTCATCATGGATTTGTGTTACTAAAATATAGTATATCTTGATGACTGATACTCTGGCAACTTCTTAAATTTTATACTAATGTGTGAATCTCACTTGTCTCACCTCAGACCTAGCTCTGATAACTGTAAGCTAAAGAGTCATTTTGTATATATAAAGAGATGGTGGATCTTTGATAAGAGGACACAGCTTTTGACCTTTATAGGTATATTAAACTCACATTTATTATTTATTTATTTATTTATTGTGTATGTATGTGTGTGGGAGGTGGCAGTGTATGTGTGGCATATAAATGGAGGTCAGAGGACAATGTGGGGGTTGGTTCTCTCTTGCCGCCATGTAGGTCACAGGTATTGAATTCATGTCATCAGGCATGGCGGCAAGTGCCTTTACCAGTTGAGTTTGTTTTATCTCTCTTAGTAGAAAGGATATATTTATAACACCATTATATACTTTTCCTTCCTGTGAAGACCACCACAACTGTAAACCATCTTTTCTAAACCTTTGACCCTAGTCCACTGTAAAGAGACTAATAATTTAGTGACACAAATCAAAAGAGAAGAAAATTTAAAAGTCAACTTGTTGCTAACAGCTTTTGTGAGTTGCCCTTACCTCGCTATGATCAGCCCTGTAGTGACAGTCATGATTTTGTATTGTAACACTACAGCCTTTAAACTTGAGTATAATGAGCAATGTTATTACATACACTTTGGTTGTATAATCCAAGTAATTTAAAAAACGCATAACTCATAGGCAGAGCACCATGAAGTTCTACTCAATAGGATTTTGATGAGTTATGTGTAATTCTGCTCTAGAATAGAAATAAATAGTGTGTTAAGGTCTACTTACTGAAAATAACAAAAGAAGGATATGATGACTATGCCACCACCATGGCTCACCGCCCGGCTAAATTTCTGATGTTTATGAGCTACCCTGTCTTGTTACAACACCCTGAATGATCTAGACACAGTATACAATATTCCTACAGACTCTCTTCTCTCAGCTCTCAGGCTTCAGTTCTCACTTCCTAAGTTTTCTCACTTCCTAAGTTGTTCAAAGAACTTTGCAGACACTCTCAGGTTGGTAAAATGAAGAATTGCCTGAGATGAAGAAAGCAGACAGTAGTCTCCGTTTTTAAGATGTTTCCAAAAAATTGAGTAAATTCATTTTATGTAACAGTTTTCACAAGGAACAGAAAAAGCCATGAACCATATAAATTTGCCACCCAAATGCATCACCTTGGGCTCACCTTCCCAGGAGTCACTTTACCTCTCTCCCTCCCCCAGAGGGAATTTCCATATTCCATTCTCCCAAAATATGTTGCCCACGTTCATCATACCTAATTATGAGATGCTCCATCTAGGGGACAGGTGTGCATTACAGTCACGGAATACTTTCCCTCTCAATGTAAGTTCCATGGGGTGGGGGGGTTACTTCGGGATGCCAACAACAAGAGGCTATGCAGATGAATGTGTCTAGCTTCTGAGGTCACAGCAGAGGGTATCTTTTCATGTGTTAGTGTGGGCCTCTCTCTCATGGGATTTGCTTATGGTCACACAGAACATGAGGGAGATTTCCAGGAATATTCAGACAAATGAAGGCAATTCTCAAAGGTGTCTGTTGTCTCATTTTACTGGGCACATGCATGCACAAAAGTCAGGTTTTACTTTTTTTAATGTATTTATCTGGGGAGTTCCCAAAATAAAAATATTCTATTGTAAATCTTTTCATTAAGGTATATTAATCAAATTTGTTGTGGGTTAATTCATTTTCTTAAGGCTTGTTTAAAATAAAATGGACATAAATTAGGTAGCAAATTTAGGAAGTGCATAAAATCATTCATAGTAGTGCATGTTCATTTATTTATTAACTCAGAAAAGCAATCTTTCCTCCTCTTCAGAATGTATTGCCATTGCATTTAAAGATCTTTTAAGAAAAGTTGTTAAATATATGTTAATATGAAGGTTTATTACATATTTTCATTATTATGTTAAGATTTATCTAATTATTATTTTAGCCAATCTTGGGACAACTTTACAGCTAATGAAGGAGGGAAAATCAACAGTCAAAATGGTTATTTTAATTTTACATCAATTTTTGACTAGTCTTAATCCAGACAAGAAAGAAAGCAGAACTCATTTGAGCTTTCAGAAAGGGTCGTCAGTTTTACAACTTAAGGGGTGGGAGTTAAAGATCCAGGCAGGCAGGTCAGTGGTGAACCTAAGATTTCCATGACTATTGAACTCAGAATTTTTGTCACTTTCATCACAGAGACAAACTATTACTAACAATAGGGTTACACAAATGAAATCTGACAGTACAGACCATGCCATTCGCCCTTTTGCTCAAACGTCTTCAAAACGAGTCCTGTGAATCCGAAACAATCTTATGAAAACTAGATTTCTTTCTGAAACACAGCGCCCTCCAGCCCTACT